GAGCAATGCTGTTAAACCATTTTTTTCTCACTTCTGCAGTCATTTCCCGGGGCCTGCGCTCAGTGYCCACTGAAAGCCCGGAGACTCCGCTTCACCTCAAGCCTGAGGACGAGCTGATCTTGGTGTCCCAGGCAGTGGAAAACCCCAAAGCCATTTTTGCAGGAGGTCAGAATAATCACACCCCTGACTACCAGAGGGTGGAACAGCCCGACTCTGAGACAGGCGTCAACAGCAACTCTTCGGCAGATTTCCCCAGTCCCTCTCAGGCAGCTGAGATGAAGCCAGGGGCCCCTGGCAGTGTAGGGCCCGTACAGGAAGGATCTATAGATGCTGTGGTGGCATATGAGGTCCCAGGATCTAAGGAAAACTGGATAGACCGAAGCCCTCCATCAGTTATTTTACAGCAGCATCGTTCTGATGAGATGTAATCCAGGTGTTCTGCAAAACATGACCAGCAGAGGGAGCCATATTTCTAATTGTACAAAAGGGAAATTTAAACTTAGAAAAAAGGGTGAAGGTTGAAAAACATTATCAATCAAGTTTTCCATTAATTTCCCCCTCTAATAACCTTTTTGTATACTGCAGTTACTTTACTTGCACTTTCATATTTTATTGCTCCAGAAAGGGGAAAAAAAAACTGGAATGAGATTGATGTATTTCTGTAATGAAAGGTCTGCAGGTCTGCAGGCCACATGCTACTGAAGGTTCTAAACTTGGTTTACGAAGTGGTGCAGACAACCAAAATTATTAAGTAAACTTGATTTTTGCCAACTTGGGAACATTCACTTGGTTGGAAATGTTCCAGATAAGTACAACATGAGATTTTGAGCAGAGATTTATTTGAGTTTCGCCTCTAAAAAGAATGTTGACACACTCCCAAAAATCTCAATTTGCATAGTTGTGCTAAAATATATATATATAAAACAAACAAACTGGTCAGTACTTTTTTAATAGCAACATAGCCTCCATCATCTGTTGTATTGTAGAAAATAGGCTGCTTGATTCTCATGAAGCTTGAACAAAGTGGGGGTTTGCCCACTGTATTTAATGCTTTAGCCATTGCAGGACATTTGGCCATTTAGAAGACTTGTAAAGTTTATTAGTATTTCCCTTGTAACAAGGGTATCCATGCTTCTTCTAATTTGTGGAATGCTTTGTTTTTATTTTGAATCAATCAAGATGAATTAAAGAAATCCACACAGACCCCTTGACTTTAAGGCTGTTACTTAAGCCCAGTCTGCAGTATCCTCCCTTTTTTTATTAAGTGTCTGGAATACCTTATCACCCATGTGTTAGGAATAAGGGAGTTAATGTGTTAATAGACTGTTGGAAGTAAAATATGCTAAAATAAAATGTAATGACCTGTTCTGTCAGTGAAGCATTCTGTTATTTTTGTGTATTTTATTTTTGTTACTGTCAGAAATTAATGGAATCTTAATGGTATTGAAACAGTTTTGTAATAATTACAAGTCTGGGATTTTAAATGTCAATCAAGTCCAAACAAATGCACTGACATTTGACAAAGTCCAAGAATTGTGTTGTAAATATATTGATTACTTTTTTTTGTACATAGAAACTATGTAAAAGACATGTCTGGACATCTATAATAAATTTTTTTATGAATAAGAATGAATTGTGATATGTTTTTTTTTGATCATGAAAAAGATGCATTTATTGTTTTGTTTGCCATCATTTTTTTCTGTTTTTTTTKATTCAGGAGGCAAATCTTCCAGCTTTCACTTCCTGTTTACTTGTGCAAAATCATTTTCAAAAACACGAGAACCAACTTTCCCCTCTCTGAGTATTCATGTTTTTTCTCTTTCTAAAACTCATCAAGATAGTTTCTGTTTCAAGTTTCAGATGAAATCCACTGGGCTTTTCACGGTTAGAGTGGGATTTCCCCAAGGCCAAACCTCTGTTCTGCTGCCAGAATCTTGTTTTGTTTATTAAACAAGACAGTATATTAAATATGCATTTGCACATGCAGATTATTGGACACCCTATCAGGGGTTAAAAGTGTAGGTGTATGTTATTTGTATTTTTTTTAATTAAACTTGTTTTTGAGTGTATGTATGAGAGATTGGTGGGAAGATTGTTCACATTTCACCTCGATGAGTGGAGAACAAACAGATTAATTTGTCTGACCTTAGGAGGGGGAAACACCGAATAGAGACCGGTAGGTGAGTCACAACAACAGAAGAGTCACGAGCTCAGAGAAGACAACATGCTCAGACTTGTTGCGCAGTGTGGGTGAAAGTTCACTCYGAGTGGCCGGCAGAGGGCGCTGCTAGTCCGTGTTTTCCAACATGAAAACAATGCAGWGAGCGACTCTTGTTATGCAGCCCTGCTGTGGTGGTTCAGGTGAAAAGTCATCCTGTTATTATGTGGGCAAGCTTGTTTGCGTTTTAACAAATGTCACGCTGTTTTATTTTTTTTTTACTCATTTAGAAAGAAAACATTTATTGGTGGTAAATGTGCCTGCTCTTCTTGGTGCTTAGTGACCAGTGAGATAGGGGATAAAATGTTTGAATTACTCACACATATTTTAGATTTTTTTCTTCATTTTGCAAAATAAATAATTATCAAGCTAAGACAGGACCAGTCGACTSCTGTGCATAAAAGCAGCTTGAAGCGGCTGCCTACAAAAGAGAATAATGTTGAATGTAAACATGCTGCTCATTATGGCACAGATTAGATAATAGATGAATTAAAAAAAAAAAAGAAGCAACACAGGCTGCGGCACGTGGCGTTTGTCCAGGCAGCAGGGGGGCTCCTCGCTCACATCTGCCGCGGATCAGTAAATGACGTGGCTGAGCGTATGGCCACAAAGAGCGCGTGCACGCACTCACGCAACACCCTAGCATCTCCGCGCTCGAGGCAGGTGGAGGACTGGGTGACTGGGAGTCTCCTTTGTCAGTGTGTGTCCGGTGGGGGCCGAGCGGCACGCGCCTGTTTAATAAGAGAACAAAGGACGTCGCGCGTGTCCGGCCGTCTCAGCACGCACGCTGTTTCGGGTGGGGGGGGGGGGGGGGGGGGGGTATCTGAAAACTTGACGAGTTCTCGCTTCATTTTCAGGGTCGGCACAGGCATGTAGCTGTAAACAGCAGCAGGGTTGAGTAACTGGATAGAAATCGCGCGCGTCCGCCCGCGTGCACGGAGCTGCTTCTTAAGGGCAAAGGAAACTGAAGTGATTCCCGAACAGACTGTTCCAGTGTTTGTCAGCTGTTTCAGTTATATCACTTGCACAATAAATAAATAAATAAATAAATAAATAAATAAATAAATAAATAAATAAATAAATAAATAAATAAACATCCCGTAATTTTCCTTTTCATTAATATGCAACTGAAAAAGCTGTTTTTTTAATTTTTATTTTGGTGCTGTTTCATAATAAAAGTGCAATCTTCAATAGTCCACGTGCACAATTTAAAAATACAAAGCGACACGTTTAGAATAAAGGCATGAATGCATGCTTTTATCTGCAGTTTCAGGCTGTCCTGTGACTGACTGTGTGCACCCTAAACAGGACTTTAAGTTTCTGTACATTCTGGTGATGTTGGATGTTGACAAAGGAGGAGGAGGAGGAGGAGGAGGAGGGGGGGGGGATTTCTTGAAACAGTGAAATCTCGACCCACGTGGGGGGGCTGTCAGCAGCTCAGTCCGGGGACTTTTGCTTCTTTCTCTGCACCCGGCTGCTGTCCAAGAGCCAATAGTAGGAGGCAGGAGCGGAAAGACCCGCCCCCCTCTTGCCGAGAAACGACGCAAGGCTGGCTATAAAACCACTCACAGCCTGTTCCGAGATCAGAATAACACGGCGGACTCACAAAGGAACAACGCACAGCACTTGTCTCTTGTTTTTTTGTTTCTGGGTACGCTGCAACAACTCGATCGCGCTTGGATTATAACTATGACTCTGGAAGAGATCAACGGACAGGAGAACACGATGGAAAACACTGACAGGTAAATGTTTTTATCTTAAAGCAGCGCGTTTCGGAGCGGGTGTGTCGGTGTTTGTTGCTGGCTTTTTGAACGCGGTGTCCTGATGACATGCGTCTTTGTTAAAGGGTGCAAAGTGCAGGCGCAGCCCTGGAGGAGCTGCTGATCGCTGCTAAGAAGCAGGACTACCTGACAGTCGGAGTTTACGAATCCGCAAAAGTCATGAATGTGTAAGTATTGCAGCTTATTTAAATATATAATCCAGTTGCCACTTTTTTATTTCCAGTACAAGATGATTTTTTTTCCTCCTTCGTCACTGATCGCCTCCCTCTCTTTCCTCACAGTGACCCAGACAGCGTGGCGTTCTGCGTCCTCGCCACGGATGAGGAGTACGAGGGTGACATCGCCCTCCAGATCCACTTCACCCTCATCCAGGCTTTCTGCTTCGACAATGACATCAACGTGGTGCGCGTCAACGACATCGAGCGCCTGGCCGACCTCGTGGGTGCAGAGGAGGGCGGCGAGCCCAAGGACGCGCACTGCATTCTCGTCACGGTACGTTTCCAAGAAGCTCGCAGGCCACAGTGCGCGCATCGTTATCTTTTTTTTTTTTTTTTCCATTTATGAACTGCCAGTCAGAGCTAACGTTTCCTTGCCTTGTTATTTCAGAGCCCCAGTGCAAACCCCTGGAAAGACCCTGCACTGGACAAGCTGAGCCTTTTCTGCGAGGAGAGCCGCAGCGCCTACGACTGGGTGCCCACCATCACCCTCCCAGAGCGCTGAGGTGACCTTCTGCTTTTAAGAAGAAGAAGATGATGGAGAAAGAAAAGCCAAGAAGCTGACTTTCAGCTGAACCAAGCCTTTCTGCTTCACCTGTCTGGATTAAGAGGCTGTGGTTGCACTCCCTCAGTCTTGCAGGAGGAGCGCATGCCTTCCAGAGCATTCTGGGTCCAGCAAGTTGGTTCTGGATCACCCCCGTGTGAAGGGCTGAAACTCAAGAGATGACGTGTTGACTGGGTCAAGTGGACACGAGGCCTGATGGACACTGAGAAGGAGGTGGACTGTGTGGTGCGTTGGGGGCGGGGTGACCCCATGCTTGCCCTACATAACATGGCATGTGGGGGCGGCACGTTGAGCAGCCGGGTCACAGAGATACTGTGGACTTATGAGAAAGTGAGGACTCTAGACTGAATGTCATCACAGAAGGAAAAAGTCAAGAAGCGGGTTCTGAAGATGATGCCTGAAAAAGTGTCTCAATGGATGATTTCTTTGTGAGTGGCAGCCTGTCAGGAATTTCTTGGAACAAGCAAAGACTCTGCTTGCAAATCCTGACTTGAGCTGTTACCAGTGAAACTCTCACGGACTAATACTTTTACTTTCAAACATGCATATACAATGCAATATCCACGTGAATTGTACTCATTTTGCAATGATTTGTGAATAAACACTTGGAATCAAAACTTCTTCCTGTCCTCTCATAACTGTCTGTTTACATGTTCCGGTTCTCCACATAGCATGATCTTAWCCTGACGCGAGCTAAGGTGCAGCTGAAGGTGGAAACCTTGCAGCAGCACAAGTATCAGGAAGTGTTAGTTAATTTTCTACAGAAGTAAAAAAGAGGAAAGTAACGGGGCAAGATTAAGCGATTAAGAGAGCACGTAAATGAAGTAGAACAGCTACGATGTGGTGGAAGCTTTCTTTTCTTTGGGTAATGACCTTTAACCACACATCGACCACCTGCCCTATTTCACTTCCTGCAACAGTGCCGAGGCTGAGACACTTAGCTAAACCTATATTACTAAAACTGCAACGAGCTAGATTAAAAAGAAAATCTAGCAAAAATAATGCCAAGTCATGCATCTTTAAAGTGTTTGCCTGCTGAGATGTAATTTACTGCAAAGGATCAATAAAGCATCCATGTGCATTAGGGGTGCAATGATGCAGGAAATTCACGGTTCGGTTCGATACTTTAGTCTCACGGTTCGATATTTTTTCAAAAAAAAGAAATGTCCACGCCCCTTTTAACTTGTAATTTATTTATATTAATCATGAACATTTGTTTAACCTCAAAAGTACAGTTTTTAAATTAAATATTGCTGAAACAGCAAGTTTCTCAGTGGACCTGCGCTCAAAAATGCAGCCTAGGTGGAGTAGTCGAACACAGATCCACTRATCCTTTAAYACAGAGCATCTTCCGAAGACAAGTTGATAAAGTAAATTTTTAAMATCTGTAYTGTTCGACACAGCACTGTTCGATACGGGTACATGTGTTGTTGCACCCCTAATSTGCACACACGTGCTATGATAATTTGGAAAACCAAAAGTCGGAGCAGTTCTGTGAGAGAATGAGGGTCATCAGTGGCAAGCAAAGGGGAAGTGTGTGAGTGCTGCGGTCGGCTCGGAGCTGAGGCTGACAGTAATTGGTGGGCCACATCAAAGAGACAGCAGACTTCACAGAAACCTGCCCCCATTTGTTCTTGGCAATAGGACCTAATGTCTGCAGCCGGCCCGCTGGTCACAATGACCGTGCACTCACATGAGCACACAGATGCATGAAGGTAGAAACTGACACCTGCGCTTCGTCTGTGTGTGCGCTCACAGCCGTGCACAACACACACAAAGAAAAGTTGCTGTGACTGACAGCTTAGAGCGGTGGCAGGTGATTACACAGTGTTCTAAGAACAGAGGAAGCACCTCTTAGACAGAATTACATGTAAAATGCAACTTGCAGACAAAGATGGGGGGAAGTTCCGTGGGAATACTCAGGTATTCGAGACTCTCCAAATTACTAAAAAATGCTCCCTGAGCTATAGTCATTTTAGTCCATGCACTGTCAAACCTGCAGATTGTGATTTAACAGAAACAGATGGGCCTTCTCAGTTCTTTGTCTGCTGTGATTTTTACTACAGTCAGTCATGAGTCGGAGTGAAAGCTGAACTATAATCTCTTGAAAAAGTCCCACAATGTGAAATTGACAGTATCGATATGCATGCAGTCCTAAACAAATAAACATTTGAAACATTTTTAAAATGTTCAGGGACATTTCTCTGAGGAGGTCAATGTCCTTCAGACAGCAATATTTGTCCAAAAATAAATAAATAAATAAATAAATAAATAAATAAATAAATAAATAAATAAATAAATACAGCAGCTGCAACTGCGTCTAATCTTGACCTGATTTTTGAAGGAAACAAGGAACAATATTTAGTGGCCCTTGATAAAAAAAAGTAGTTTCGACAAGAATGTAACAGTTTACAGTGAGTAGACAGATTTGAGTAAGTGTAGTGTAATGACAGATAAGTAGTAAGTGTATTGTTGACTAAAACGTTGACCCAGTTTACTTAAAAGTTACATTTAAGTTCTTTGTGGCACTTTAATCTGTGCGACTTTATCTGCTGCCTCAAACCTTATTTCTGCAGCACTGACCGCCACGAAGAGCAAGAATAGGCCTGTTTTTAACCTGCAAATCAGCTTGTCTAATGGGGCAAACAACAACAACAACAACAACAACAACAACAACAACAACAACAACAACAACAACCAAAAATTGGGTCTGGTGTAAAAGGAGCTCCTGCTTGCGCTGTGGCTGCTGTTTGTGTGGAGTTAACAAACATCTTCTCCCTGTGCTTGGCTGCGGTGCCAAAGCCTGGAGCAATAGCCCAGACTGCTGAGGCAGCTGACTGTCTGCATGAAGTCTGAGCCAGAGATTTAGGGCCGCGATAGACTGAAAGTGAAGGAACGAGACCAGACAGACATGTAATGGGACTTACAAAACATTAATGTTTTAGACTCTGGCACCACACCGGGGGTAAAACAATACATTATCATRGCTCTGTCAAAACCTATGAGACAGATTTCTTTATGGGCTTGCGGCTTGCACCACTTAGAGGTGGCTGGAAAACAAACACTGAATATGGACGGAAAAAGATGCTCAAAAACAACTTTTAGATTCCTATTTTAACTTGACACTAATCTCTGAATTTAAGCTCAATATACAAACAACGTATGGCTTGTTAGCTCACTTTGCTGTTGAAATTTTTAAGAACTATATTCTAAAATACAGTGCCAAATATTTCAGTATAATTGTGTAAAAATTAGATGTGATTTTTAATTAGGCTAAACTGTATTTTTACAGAAAGACCCYCTTTCACAGATGTATTGCTTGCTGACTTGGAGGGAAATAAACCTAAGAATTTGCTGCAGAAAGAACGTTTTAAGCAGGCAGTATAGTCAGTATATTATTAGGAGGAGTCATTGACACTGGAGGAACAACTCAGCAGTACATAACGTTCTTTAAAGAGACAGGAACAGATAACTTGGATCTGCTGAGACATAGCAAACTCCTCTTTTCTAATGCTTTAAAGTGAATTTATCAGCGTAGAATGCACAAAAGTTGGTAACATTAAGCTGTGACTCTATGAAAAAGATCGTTTCTTGGCTAACAGAGTAGGTTACCTAATCAGCCATGACTGCCTGCAAAAATGAAGACAAAACCGCTGCTTCCAGTTTGAAACAAAATGGTAGATTTATTAGAACTGTTATAATAATCTTAACATCAAACTGTTGGCGAGACACTACATAATTGTCRAGATTAGCTAATATTCCTTTGAAGGTGCATAGCCAAGTCTATCTATTCCACTCTATCGGCTCCTTTCTGATTGTATCATTTTAATATTTCTGATTTTAAGTGGAGATACTGTGCAGATTTATTGAGTTTCTRTTTTGTTGGTGCAAACCTTCTGAAAAATCTGTTTGCCCTGGTTTGCGTGTCAAAAAGACAAGGTGTTCAGTAGGAACATATTTTAGCTGGACTGGTCTGCAAACATGCAAAAACAAAACTGGACAGGTTTTTTCCACTGAGGTTAAAAAATGACAGTCAGTGAAAGAGCAAGAACTGATCAATATGCACGGCAGGCTGCATGATCCAAACCTTTAGCAAGCACAGAAAATGTCAGTTTTTTTCTGCAATGTCCCCTAAAGATAGCAAAGCTGCCAAAAAAAGTGGGGGTGGAGGGGTGTAAAACCACTTTGGAGACAGTTGACATACATGATGCTCCTTCCTTGTTTGAGGAAAGCAACTCTGCRCGTTTGCTACTTTTATTCTTGCACGTGCCTCCGTCCTGTCAGAATAGAAAGCCCAGTTGTGGTTTCAGCCTGGAAAACGGTTGCAGCGCATGCTTCCATTTTGGAAGACTGAAATATTCTCAGACTTGTGTGGTTTAACTGTAAGTGTGAAACGCTGCTGCCCTTCCCAGAGCCATTACCTTCATGGCTGAGTGTGGGCCCGTCTTCCCATTCCTGCTCCATTTCACTTACAGTAACCAGAGTGGGATGAGATTACACGATGAGTTGGCAGGCAGCGAGCCCCTCTCTCTCTCTCTCTCTCTCTCTCTCTCTCTCTCTCTCTCTCTCTCTCTCTCTGTCTCTCTCTCTCTCTCTCTCTCCCCGCCCCGCTCCTGTTCTCGCGTGGCCATACTGGTATCATGAGATCACGGTCCGGCTGCCTCGGCAGGCCCTGGAACGAGATAGCGCAATTGGCTGTGAGGTGTTGGGTGTCGTTAAAGCTAAGTGCGGGGTATGTGTCACACCTTGGGGAGATGAGCTTGCTGCTTCTGCTGCTTGCCTTTTACTCACAGTGAGCTCATGCTTCAGAGTGCAACCCTGCACATGCAACTTTTAGAAGTTCTCAGAGTCATAGTAACAGGGGGATTTCTCACCACCGTAGTGATCCTGGGAGATTCACATCAACAATGTGTACACACTGTGCTTGTTTGTGAAGAGTTGCTATCAATTTGTCAGGATGACTTCACTTTGGAGTTTTATGKTTTTTTTGTAGGCTGAGGTAAGGTAAACTGTGTGCTCACACACACACCTGTGCTCCTTGGATGACCACACCGCACTGATGAGCTCACATGATCCACACCTCTCAGCTCAGTAACGGTTGCGGCTGTCTCTCTGCAGAACCTGTAATTTAAGGTGAGCTAAAGCAGGTGTTTGTGAGTCAAAAAGGGAGGGTGACCAGGTTAGGAACACACACACACACACAGAGAGACACACACACAAACCTGACCCACACTTTGATTCAGCGTGTCCTTTTAGGGGATAGAGTGACACCCACACAGCAGGTCATTGGATATGAGGTCATGACACAAACATAACTGCTGGTAAAACTACGTACCACTCTGCAGCTTCGGAACATTAACTCATCTTTTATACATAGCCTATGAGTGTCGAGCTGAGACAAAACACTGACATTTACAAGTTATTTTTCCCCACTATTTCTGCAAAGTGCACTCAATTGGCAGTTTGTTTTTAAACTGATATGTCATCCATTGCTGTGTGATTGCATCAGGATGTTTGTTCAGAAGCATTCGGATAGAGTGACTGGTTGAAATCAGAGATCTCTTAGTGCAATACCTAAAAAAAATCAAGAAAAACAAGATTATATGTAACCTCTAATTACC